CCATACAAAAATACATCCTTCTTGGCATTATTAAATAATCTCAAAATAATTAATGATTAAAATAACAGCTCAGAATAATAAAAGGTGAGGAAATCTGCAAGTAAATATTCAGGAGAGTGCCTGACCAAGACAGGGTCAGTGAACAGTAGAGAAGGATGTTTGTTGGAAGACTTCACTAATCTTGTTTCCCAGCTTCTTAAATACATAACTAAAGAACTGAAAGTCAAACGTATGCAGAGACACTTTTGAGAATAGCTGTATAAACCTGATGAATACTCTGATTGTGGCTGTTACTTGAATAAAAGTAAGTTTACAGGCCTGGAGGGAGCATATGTATCTGCGGACACTTGTTTCTAACTTGGGAGTATGTTAGTATTGATTAGTTAATGACTCATCACGATTCTTTTGTAATAGGCAGGAATTCATTAGCAGGATATTTTTACTGAACAATTTTCTTTGTGTTTGAAAAGGAGCTTAATTTAAGTAGTGGTTCCTGGTGTAGAGAACAAAAAATACAATTGTAAGCCAAATATTTGTTGTTTTTTAATGATGTATCCTAGTGTTAAGATGATGTTCTCATCCCTTTTGCTGATTGTTTTGCCTAACAAATTATTATTTGCAGTAGTATTTTGAATTTGTATGGAGTTGTGGGGTTTTTTTGGACAATTTTTAAAAAAACCACAATTTAAATGTCATAACTTAAATAGGGTATCCTAGGCTAACATGGCAAGACTTGTGTATATTATACATCTCTTACATATATGCATTCTGGAAAAATCTATGCTGTGAAGCAATACAGAGGATGTTTGGTCATTTTAAAAGCAATGTCCTGGGTTCAGCTGGAATATTTCCCAGTCGAGGCCCAAAGAGTTCAATCCTTCCTTTTTTTTTTTTTTAATGTGTATGTAAATAACAGAAAACACTAATTTTGCATTTTATTCTTGAATATTTTGTGAAACTTGTAAATTTCACAAATGTCTCTGTTTGCCATTTGTACCTCTCCACCATTTCTTCATTTCTTATTTTTAGCGTATATTTCGAGACTTAAATTTTCTTCTGAAAGGTTTTATATGCCAAACTTGTTTTGCTATATAAGAAGATAAATAAGTTCCAATAGTAATACTCTTCTTTTTAAACAGCCTGGCAGTAAATATATAGAGGAAAGCTGGTAGTTGTCATTGCACTCCTGGTGATGAGGAAAAGTCCTGCTTCAAACCCTGCAGCATCTCTGCTCAGAGCTGGCCAGCACTAGTTAGTGTTTGCATTCTGGGGAGCAAGAGTGCTGCTGCAGGAATTCAGTCTGTCTAGGGTAAAATAAATTATTGTCCATTGAGAGCTCTTAACTTCTAGAATGTGCTTCTCTTGTCTGACCATGAAGCATTTTTTCACATTGAGTGTTTTGAAATTTGTATGCTTTTTTAATTAAAACTTCATCAGATTTCCTTCTTTTTTAAACTCCTTTCTATAGTAAATGGTTTTGTATCCATTTCTTTTGCTTTTCCCATTTTTGAATATTTGTAGCAGGATCACTTTTGCTTCATGGAGATTAAGAGTTTGAGGTTATGTAAGCTGCTAGACATGGTGCCTAGGGACATGGTTTAGTGATGGACTTGGCAGTGGTAGGTTTATGGTTGGGCTTGATCTTGGAGGTCATTTCCAACCTAAATGCTTCTGTGCAATTTAAAACTTTGACACTTCAAATAAGTCTGATTAAACAAAGGCAGTACTAGTTTATGCATATTATCTCAAGAGAATTGCTGTTTGCAAGCAGTGCCTTTATAATGACTTTCTGCTGCAAGGGAATCTCATGATATTTGAAAAATGGCTGCAAAAGAGCAAAAAGCTAAACAGTCTACAAAGCTGAAAAAATAGGTGGTAACTAACAGCATATGAATATTTTGTTTATCTTCCTAATGTCTATACTACTATTTTATATATATTGGATACTATCTTTGGACTGATTTTATATATCCAAATCTATTTTTACATCCTTTTAAAGATTCACAATAAAAGTTTTAAGAGGAGGAAGTTAGTTTTGTGTCCTGCTTGGTGCTTGGTTTTCTTCCTGAGCATGGTGGAGTGGTTTAAGAAGTGATCTACTGGAACTGGCTTTAAATGTTGCTGTGCTAAAATCCTTGCAGCAGTTTGGCTTGCTTTACTTCAGAATGTCTTTGTCCACACAGAAAGGGTGAAATTTCACATTACTATAGCGTAATGATGCCTCAATATAGAAAGCTATGTAAAATGCAGAAGTTCCACTAGTAGCAACTTGCCTGTAGATGTGTGTTGAGCTGTATGATGATAACATACAGGAATTTTCCAAATGGGAATTTACATCTATGTGTTATATGTGTGTCAGTTTGCATTTAGTTATTGTGGGCACAGTTGCTCATGTAAACTGCATCCTGTTATGAAACTTCTATGAAAACATACAAAATGTCTTTCTGAATAAGGAGGTGATGTAGTGTACCTGGAACGTCTCGTAAGAACTTGCTAAATCACTGTTTCAGTTTCCTCAGACCAACAAACCTGTAGTGGACCTGTTTGCTGCTTGATGTACCCCATGGGATTAGGGGAATTACAGGGGGAAGTGAAGCCATTCAAGATATTTGAAATTATTGAAGGCTTTGGGTTAGCAAAATGGCTATTCCTATTGACCCCTTAGAGAGGAGATCCCCAGGTGGAGGAGTAGACTGCTTACTTGTATGAATGCTGGAGGAAGAAGTCACCTTGAGAAAAGTTTCTTGAAATGAGTTTTATTCACTGTGGTGCTTCACCTCCTTCTTGTACAATATTATTGTGCATCTTGTCTCCTCAAACTCAGCTGCTAAAAATTCCTTACTGAGCTCACTATTGTCTTACCTTGTTTAGTGGAAAATTTTGGCTCTTTGGGCAGTGTTATGTGCCCTTACTGAGGTTCCTGTCTAAACAGTTCTCAGATACCACCAGAATAAAAACTGCATTGTAAAAATAGACCTGTTGACAATGTTATTTGAGAATTCATATAAATGTATGTGTGCCATGAATAGTTATTTAATTTGCTGTGCTGTTTGGCATTTCAGATAACAACATGGCATTTGACTTTGAACTTCTGAGTGCATTTTATATGGAGATACATAACATTAGCTTTTTGCTTCAGGACAGAGATAGTCAAACTTGTTGTAAAGCAGCATTTTACTATTGCCTAGTATTTCATGGATTGGAGGATTTATGAGTTAACAAGCAGTATTACTTCTGTTCATAGTTATTCCATAGCAATATAAGGGCAGGTCAGAGGCTGCCTTGTACTATTGGAAAAAGGCTGAGCTTGTCTTGGCACCTGAAGAACTATGTAGTTTCATTATTTCTCTATGATTTTTGGCAGGTAATTTCCAATATTGGCATGTTAGCTTCCTCATTTACAGAACTTTAAAAACCTGGTTTGCTTCATGGGAATATGAGACAAAACTAATTTGGACATGTAAGGTATTCAGTTTGCACTTTCCCCTGCATTTAAAGACATACATTACTAGAATTTGGAAAGTGGCAGAAAACAGAATAACTGTGTTATATTTTGCCGACAAGCATATAATAAAATTAACATGTCTGATTTTCATTTCATTCTGGAAAAAAAAATTGAATGGGAGGCAGGGAGTGTTCAGACTGGAATAAACCCCCCACTGCCAGGGGGGAGGTTGTGTTGTGAGGAAGTATGTTACATTCCCATAGTTGGTTTGCAAAATAGTTGGCCTCTTAACTACCGTTCTGCTGGCAGAAAAGATCTCTGGAATGCAGTCTTTTTACTACTTTTGCAGAAAGATTCCAATTTCGATGTTTTTTTTCTGTGCCTAAATATGTCTCAATAGGTTTCTAAGCTGCTGCCCCTAGGAAAGTGAACAGTTTAAGATGCTTTATACAAATTGCCATCTGTTTGAATTGTTGAATTAGAACACCCAGCCCGTCACTAGCTGTGTTGCCCAGGGCTCAGTATTGAGATCTTGTTTAACATCTTAATCAGTGATCTGGACATGGGGATTAAGTGCACCCTCAATAAACTTGCAGACAACACTAAGGTGTTTGGGAATGTTGATCTGCCTGAGGGTAGGAAGGCTCTACAGAGAGACCTGGACCGACTTGATCAGTGGGCTGAGGACAACTGCATGAGGTTCAGTAAGGCAAAGCCCTGCACTTGGGTCACAACAACCCCATGCAGTGCCACAGGCACAGGAAGGAATGGCTTGAGAACTGGTCAGCAGAAAGAGACTTGGGAGTGCTGGTGGATTGCTGGCTCAGTAAGAGGCAACAGTGTGCCTTGGCCTGTATCTTCATACATACATAGTGTGGCCAGCAGGATCAGGGAAATGATTGTACCCTTGTACTTGGCACCAGTGAGGCCACACCTCGAGTACTGTGTTCAGTTTTGAGCCCCTCAATTAAAAAAAGGTCATTGAGGCACTGGTGTGATTCCAGCAAAGGGCAGCAAGGCTCATAAAAGGTCTGGAGCACGTGTTGTATGAGGAATGGCTGAGGGAGTTGGGTTTATTTAGCCTTGCGAAGAGGTGGCTAAGGGGTGACCTCATGGCTGTCTACAACTACCTGAAAGGGGATTGTAAAGAGTTTAGGGATGGTTTCTTCTGCCATGCCTGCAGTGAGAGGACTAGAGGAAATGGCTTTAAGATGAGACAGGGGAGATACAGATTAGATATTAGAAAAAAATTATTCACTGTTAGGGTGGTCAGGCATTGGAATAGTCTATTCAGGCACGTGGTAGAGTCACTGTCCCTGGAGGTGTTTAAGAGGCATTTGGATCTGGCACTGGGTGATATGATTTAGTGGTTTAGGGTTATAGTGGTAGTGCTAGGTGGATGGTTGGACTGGAAGATTTTGAAAGTCTCATCCAACCTTGATGATTTTGTGATTCTATGATCAACATTGTCAGGACTATTTGTCCTGGGTTTACTTTCTGTACCTTAAGGAGTTTCATTTAATAGATATGGGTTTACTGTTTTTTGTATTCACAGAACTGTGCTAAAGAATAATGACTTGAGATCGAGACAAGAATTAACTACTCACCTCACCAATCAGTGGCCTTCCCCAGGAGCTCTGGATGTCAATGCTGTTGCCTTGGACACTCTACTCTATAGAAAGCACAATCAACAATGGGATGAGTAAGTTTAATATTTATTTTGATTCCCCTTTAGAGGAACAGGAAAACTGAAAATTACATATTTCCCTCAGCATACTCTGAAATGTATCCTGTCAGAGTTACCTATTACAATGTACAAGGATCAGGTGGCAAAGAGAATCAGTTTCTCTTGCTTAGAAATTTCCTTCCTTTGGATTTAATCAAAAAAAGGGAGAGAGAAATAATTGTTTTAGGAAAAATACTGGTGTAGGAAGGAAACAAACAAAAACAGTGTTTAAGAGAAGAAAGACTAATTGCCTAGTTGTTTTTAGAAAAATATTTAAGGGGACTTGAAGATACCTAGTTAGATCTTTAAATGTGTTGGTGTAAAATATTACTTGCTTTGCAGGAAGAGTTTTCAAAGTCTGGACCAACTTTCAGCAGATGGTAGTCTTTCTCAATCCTCTCTGGATCCAGGTCACTCACAGGATGGGAAGCAGGATGGAATGAACTTGTTAAATGAAGGTACAGAGCCAGTCTAGTGGCTTCCTTTAATGTTGTTCTTCATAGCTCTGAACTTCAGTCCCTGTGAGATAATGAAAGAAAATATGCATTGTAAAGCATATTTTTCATTCTTACGCAAAGTGTTTGTTTTTCTAAAGACTACACTTCAAATAAATTTGGGTTTATGAAGATACCCTACCCACTGCCCCAGTAATTATAAGACTTCGGGTGGTATTTAAAGCTAAGCTTCAAATATGTTGCATACCTCCCTTCTCCGTCACGGAGCCAGTCAGCTCAGCTACAAGGAGGATCTTCTGTCATCTTTCTACTATAACAAACTATTTGTTTCCTTTTTTAGTTCTTAAAGAAAGATTAAAGGGACTGGATTTGCATCTGCCACTGTCATTCATACATCTTACATTTAACATTTATCTGTGGAGATGCAGCCTGACAGTGTTTGCATTCAAATAGAGAGAGGAACATGATATAAACCGTGTATATAAACGTGGTGTACGCACACACACCTCCCTGCTCAAAACCTGTGAGCTTTTAAAAGCTTAGCTGCTCCATCTTGTGGGCAATTGTGAATAGCAGAGAAATACTAGACGACTTCTGAAATAGTAGTATTTTGTGTATAAACTGTTATAAAAATCCTTTTTGTATCTCATCAAATGTAAACTTTAAAGAGACTTGACAATACAGAGACTTAGTTATATAGTTATAATGCATAAGCATTAAACTTTCTTGGTTTTAAAATATTAAGGATGTAAAATTCAGAAGTTTTCAAAAACTGTAAGCAGTCTCAAAAATCTAAATTCAGGTTAGCTTAGAGAAATTGAAACAGAATCAGCATAGCTATTATGAAGAGAGTTCTTGTGCAGATCTACTTTCAACTGTTTTTTTTTTCGATGTTAATCCTTTGAAGTTATGCTTTGTTTTATTTTCTGTAAATCAAAGTGTGGCAAAAACAGTGATGGTAATAGTTTTTAGGTTTTGATTTCAACACTGTCTTTAAAGCAGGTGTAACATCTCACTTTTGTATTAGTGAGGTTCATCAGCACTGGAGCATTCATATAACTTTGTAAGACATGGTGATTGTGCTGTGATACCTCTGGTCTAACTCTCAATGTGGCAGTTTTAAGTAAACAATTACAAGTAGTAAATTTTCACATTATTCTTAAGCCCACTGTTATAGTCAGACTTCTAGCATCACAGTAGTTGAAATGGAGGGCTGTGCCCAAACAGTATTACACTGCTCTGTTTATTTTATGTCCTCATGTTGAATGTAGTATTTAAATGTAGTTTTTAAGGTAATAAAGGCTTCTGAGGAAAAAAGCTCAGTAGAGGTAAGACCTAAATTCTACTGGAAACTGCTAGTAAGAACCACAAATGATGCAAGAGAACTACATGTCACTTTGCTTTTTTCATAATGAATTATTGGGCAGGGCACGGTTTGGGTTTTTTTCTTACATCCTTCTCAAGAGAATAAAATCTTCCTGTCAGGAAGATGCAATACACATTTAAGAAATGCTGCTTTATAGATGTGATTTTTAAAAAAATGTGGGTAGATTGGCCTTTCAATAAAATCTTGAGCCTGTGACCTTTTTGCATTCATTTTAACCTCTAGTTTAAGGTGATTTTGATTTTTCTGTTTTATACGTGAGCCAGAAGGATGAAAATAGGTAGATCCAATTCTTTGTAATGTAATTTATTAGCAGAGTTGGCACAGAATAACTTGAACAGATATTCTGAGAAGGGAAGAAAGAAAATAAACAGAGAAATTGTCTTATTTATGCAGTTTCATACCTATGGGTATATTTCATGCTAACTAGTCAGGTGTAGTTGGATGACAGGACAGATATTTGCACTGTGTGACTTTTTCCAGTGGTCAGACCCTAATACACTTCAAATTACAAAGGTTTAAAAGACGAAACATGTTTACTTTGAAAGAAATATACCCTGATTCCCATTAATTCTACTCCTTTCTGCAAGATTTAAAATTAGATCTCTGGTACTGGTATTGTATTAGTAATGTCACTTCCATTTACATACAATGGACTCGACTGAAACTGGTGCTTGAATTAGTAACTTCAGTTCACCATGTAGTCAGTGGAGCCTCTGGATCTGCTTCTGCAGGGGACTGACTACAGCTCAGCCTGTAATGCACAGGTAGGGAGGGATCTCTGCACCACCTGGGCAGGGAAGCTGTGGCATCAATTGTATCTTCCCAGTTGCATTTATCAAGCATGCCTGTGCTCAAGCAGTAGTATGTAATTCATAACAGTGTAGATAAAACAGTGTTTTCTGTTCTCTCTTTTTTTTGTGGCCATCTTGTGCTGTAAAAATTACTAGCTTAATTATTGTTTTTCTTAACAGGGAAGGAAGACACTCCATCATTGCTTGGTCTTTGTGGCTCTTTGACATCAGTAGCAAGCTACAAATCTCTCACAAGTCTGAAATCAAGTGAATATCTTGCAAGTCCCACAACAGAGATGACAAGTCCGGGCTTAACACCATCTTGAGATACACACAATAAGGAAGAGCTTTGTGGTTTATGCATTTATGTTCCATAAAATGACTTGCAATGAAGACTGCTAGTTCTGAGTTAAAAAAAAATAAGCTGCTTTATTTTTTCTTTTCATGGTTACCCATGTAATTCACAAACTCTGTCAGTTTTCATTCACCTTTTTTTTCCCCTGGAGGACTCTTCAGATTTTCTGTTTTAGTCTGGAATTACTTAAAGCTCTTGGTCAGGTACAGAATGTATAATCCAATGCTTATGATTGATTTTTAAAATGAAACTGTTGGAAGTCAGTTCCCTATTTAATTGCCATCAGCTTTGTTTCTCCTTGCAATGGCCTGGCCCTGCTCTAGCCACTGGACTTCTCTGCAGTGCTTTAAATATCTATCAGTCTTGCAGAACAGACAGGGAATCCTTAATGCCAGTCTTTCTAGGCAAATAAATACTTCACCTAAAATTCCAGCTTTTCATCTGTGTATGTTGTGTAGGACCTCAAATAGCATATTTAACCTATCAACAGCTCAAGTTGACTCAGTGTTAGTTTTTGCATTCCTATTAGTATCATGGCACTTTGATGTCCCAATCACAGTGAAACAATCTTACAAACCTTTGAAGTTGCATGTGAATAACAAATGTAACTTGATCATATAAAATCAAGCATAGGTAGTGATTTGTGAATGGTGAGGAAAGTCACTAAATGCTTTTGAGTGACCTGAGTTACAGATAATCTAATGTTATACCAGAAACAACTTGCTGGAAAGATGAGGACTAATGATGGTGGGGTTAGCACCCTGGGAAGTTTGGATTCTGTGTTTATTGGTAAGATCCCAGGGAGAGTGAAAAAAGGTGAAACAAAGACAATGGAGTGACTGTATTTCCATGTTAAACACTTCTCATTCCTGTAGTAGTGCAATAGGTATTTTTCATGGTTAGGTAATACAGCAGAATTTCTTGAAGTCAGTTTTCTCAAATTACTTGCCATAGATTTAAATTATTGATAGAAGGTAAAAAATAGGGAGACATTTTTTTTAAATGAAACTAACTTTCCAGATCACCCTACAGATTCAAAGTTTGCAAATTAATTTTTGAATTGCAAACTATATTCTTAATTCTTTGTAAGATACAATGGATCCTTTATCTATGAATTTTGCTAATCAAGGTAATGCTTATCAGTATGATTAGTGACTTTTTAAACAAAAGTTAAATGCATGTAAGTATGTTGTATTTATAAGTGCTAGGGAAAATGCTTTTTTGTGCCAAAGAAGTTTCATAAATTGTTTACATGAGTAGCTGCAATACAAGTCAGATTTTTAATTATTGCTTACTCTTAGGTGTTTACAGTATGTCACTACACTCTGTATGGTTTTAGTTGATTTGCCTCTTGTAATGGTACCTTGGCACTACTACTATAAACTGGTCATCATAGGGTGGGCTTGAAAGAAAGAGGATTCATACTTACTTGGTTTATAGTGAAACTACAGGAAATGTTTAGCCTTTGTAAGTATGAAGCTCCATCTCTGTAACTGTTGAGTTCCATCTCTGGAACTCAAGGCACTGTTGGATTTACCTGGAGGAAGTTCAAGATACACCTCAACTCTCTAGTCCATGCTGCTGGGGGTCACTGCATCCATGGCAGTACTCAACTACTGATGCCATTTTAATGCAGAATTTTAAAGCAGCTTAGCAAAGTCCATCAGATCTCATCTTTCAAGCCCTCGTGTATCCACCCAGTTAATTTCTCTGTAACAAACTCTGACCATTAAATCTTTTCATGCACTGTCAGAATGCCCATTACTTCATGTAACTTTTTTTGTTACCACATTAAGCACCTGTTCTCTCATGACAGTTGAGCGATATTATTAAATATCAATTTGTAAACTAGGGATGCATTTTTACTACAAATAAAATGAGGGAATCCAGATTCCACAAGTTAACATTCTACACCAAGGTACAGTGATTTAATTGGTCTTGTTTGCTGTTAAACACTTCTCACACACTACATCAGTATTTTGGAAGGGATGATAATCATGATCTTCAGTCATGTTCACTGATGGCTCCTTTCTTGGAGCTACTGGTGTGAAATTCATGTGTCATTTAACTGTAGTCTTTTATGTAGTCTGGCATCATTGAGTTTCTGGGTGTCATTTTGTGCATGGGAAATCAGTTCTGTGTGTCTTTCTAGGTTCTAAACATTAATCACTTTTTACAAAAATAATTTTAAAATGCCAAAACTGTATGTTTTGTTGCCTTGACGTTCCATAAATGTTGCATGTAAATTAAACATTTTGTATCATCACTAGTTGCAGGTTTCTGTCTCTGTATTATTTTATACTGTTTGATTAAGACCATTCAGTAAATTACAGTATTACTGAGCTTATAGCAAATTCTTGCAAAAGGGGAAGACTCTGGTTTTGTTGCTATGTTTCATTCAGTGTCATTCAAAATCTGCTGCTGCTGTTTTATCACAGGCCTTGTTCAAAAGCCACAGTGGGGGAGCAGTGCTAAGTATCTCCTCTGGCAGTATCTCCTGCCTGCACCATATGCTGTAACATGGTACCTAATGCCTTTATAACTGGAGTATTTTTCAGCATGTGATGAATTTTCAACAAGGCCAAATGTGCAGGGATAACTTCTTCACAGCTGAATAGGACTGAAGTCCATTTCTTGGGTAAAGCACACCTGAATGTTGGTCTCTTCATGACCTGGCTACTGAGTTGCTTTTGTATCAACAAACCCCTGATTAAGACACACAAAACATAAAATTCAACTACTTCATTGAAAATGCATTAAGGAAGGTAGTGAGGGTAGTCAAAAACATTTTTTTTAAAAAAATCGCACAGAGGAAGCTTTGATTCAGTAATTCAAATGCCTCCAGGCAAGTGAGATGCTGCAGCTGTTCACACCACGTGTGTGCAGCACTCTGTGGCAGATGGTGGCTGTGTCTACAGCAGCAAACTAAATACACTCTTCCCTTCAGAGAGATGCATGTCTGAGTCAAACTGGCTTGGAACCACCTGCCTTTATGCTGGCCAACATGGCCTTCCAAGACAGGTGATCCCACACCAACTCCCTAGGGCTTGGCCCTGCCTTGAAGCCTTGTAACAGTGGTAACTTGCACCTCTCAAACACACGTGAGGGAGTGTTCCTCCAGAACACCTGTACAGGCACTTGTCTTCAGTGCTTGGGTGTGCTCTAATTTCTTAGAGTAATACCTGCCACTGCAGCCTACATCAAGGTACTCATTGTGCTCTCTGGGTCTCTAATGAGCATGAAATATTTTTTCCAGTCTGACATAAAGAATTTTTCATTTAAAACAAACCTGAGAAGAAACTGAAGACTGTGTTGTAATATGCACTTGCACAAAATACACAGCTGCAAATAACAAGCATGCACAGAATGAAACATGTATCGAGCAGCAAGAATAAATAAGCATTTATTGCATTCATTCTGTATCAACCTTATTAAGAAATAAATATATCATACAATTGGAAGCCCAAAACATTTTTCAACATAATTTAAATACTTAACAAAAATGTTTAATCAGACTTCACAATTAACACAGTGGCAATTGTCATTCTTCACTGCTGTCCAGCCTCAATTTTTTTTCTCCTTTAGATTTTCACTGAAGAATAGTGATACCTCTTGTTTTTTCTTATCCATTCTTTTTTCTCTCCAGCTGCAAGGCAATTCACAAAATCTCCAATGATAGCTTAAGGGTGATGTGTATTTTCTTAGTCTTAATAAAAAAAAGTGAATTTATCCTTGGTGAAACAAACAGTTAAAAATGAGGTTACCAAATGTAACAGTAATCTTCACAGATTTAAATTTGGCACAACTTTCACCATACACTGTGACTTCGGACAACTGGATGAGTGAGAATTAAGGATGTTGATTCATTTTTTCATTTAAGTGAGAAAAGAAAGACTTCCCATATTCGTATGTGCTGATCATTATGGCACAAGCAGGAGCAACTTTAAACAGCCGTGGAATGATACCTGCCCAGGAGAGAAAGGAAAGTATTCACTATCATCTGTTTCCAACAAACAAGTGCTGTAGTACAATATATTGATACCTTAGTATATCAGTGTAGAACTGTGATTCCTACCTGTCCCCGTTCCTCAAAATACTGAATTTACTGGTGGTAGGTATTATGAGTGTAATAACCTTACACTCTCACCTATGTCATCCTGTATGGCCTGGTTGCCTCAAGTCCATTGTGTCTCTGCCCCTTCTGACTCTCCAGGGAGGTGGAGCACCTGGACCCCCAGGGCTCCTGTGCTCCAGCACAGAAGAGTGGCCTGAGGGCAGGCTGTGTGTCCTCCCCTAAATGCCAGTGCTCACGTGGGACAAGCAGAGGCTTGTGACCTCTCAGGTGGGACAACAAGAGGTTCACAAAGCCCTGAATCCTGAAGTGGATAAAATCAGGGAGGAAACAGCTCAAGTAACATGCTGGACTGTAAAAAACCCTGTTTTCCACCACCACTATCTCTCAAAACCTACAGCACCTCTACTGAAACGGGAGAATCCTGGTCACATGTACAAATTAAAGTGTTAGAGGTCTCCCATTACAGTCAACTGTGATCTTGTCAGTGAAGTTTAGAAAGTGATTCAGATTACCTAGCAATAGGAAAATAAGGCTGAATACACTTGTCCACACAAAGCCAGCCATGTACTTCCACTTGAAATGCAAAGACATCTGCAGGGAGCTGATGATGCCATGACCTACGGAAAACTCATCACTTTGCAACAGTAGCAAGAAGCCAGGGAGACAACCCCCATCATCTCAGCTACATGTGGGCAACTGAACTGAAACAGTGGCAGATCAAGAGAACAACTCTGTTACTCATGTGCCAAGACTTAGGCATAGCTATCCTAATCAATTAACTAAATTCTACCCAAAATGGCTAAAAATACTGATACTTTTTGGTGTCTTGCATTCTGCTGGCATCAGTGCTCTGAAATATGCAAATCCTGTTATCCAGGTATGTCATCGCTGTACAGCAGGTAAAGCAATTTAATCTCTTTCAGCAAACACAAGTCTTGCAAGGCTTAACCAACCGTGTAACCATTCACACAAGGCACCCCAGTGCACCAATGCAGTGTGGTCCAGACAGGTAAGTATCCTGGGTTTGGCATGTCTCTTACAGAAGTTCATTTAAGTATGAACTACTGTAGGCTTTTATCTCGATAGAATTTTAATCTCAGTATCTTGTCATTTCCTCCTCAGGCTGCCAGAGTCACACAGGACAACATTTGTGCATTGGAAAGGACTTCTGTGCCTGGCAATGACAGAGTATGTCCCCAGCCATTC